GACAACGATGGTGACGGAAACGGCTCCACAGGGAGACCCTCGTGCCTCTGATGCCGACGACGTTTCTCTAGCTCTTCGCGCTCAAGGTTATTCCTCTTGCGCTTTGCCTCCTCGGCATCCTTCCGCTTCTTTTGCACCTCGACGTACGCCCGGTTCACCGCCCGTCGCTCTGCGTCCTCGGGAACGGGCGGCGGGGAGGCTCGCACGTCCCTCATCCCCTATAGGAACAGCGAACGCAAATAAGGGAATAGGAAAATGCGAGGAGCAAGGATCCCTCGAGATCCACAGCGGCACATGACTCACCAGAGAGATGTACCCCCACGACGGGCGTATCGGGAACGGGGACAGACCACCGCTCCTCAGCCGCCCCTCCACCATCTCTTTCACCCGACGAAGAATCTCCTGGTCGGAGAGGGCGACGGCGGACATCCGGACGCCTTCGATCGGCTCGTCCGGTGTCATCTCAAATAGGTGCTGCCGCCAAGCCATCAGCGGCAGTACCCTCCGGCGGTGGAAGGCCGCCACGACCACAGCCGTCGTGAGGCCACGGCCGCGCAGCCTCTCCAGCACCTTCGGGAGCGGCTGCAGCTTGGGCTGATCAGCTATCGGGATGCCGTACCTCCACTTCTCTGGCTGGCTCTCCATGATCCACCCGGTGTAGGGGGGAAGTCCGCCATCATCGTTGCGGAGGTAGAACCAGCTGGTGTACCAGCGACGATTGGTCGACGCGAGCTGGGCCGGGATGTAGAGGAGCTGCCGGTCTTGGCGCACTTGAAGAGTGCATCCGCCGGCCCTCATCGCCTTCCTCATGCCCGTCGTGCCCGTCGGCTTGGTGGTATGCCCCGCCCGGAAGAGGTGGAGCCACAGCTCCCAATGGGGGGCAATGCCCAGATACCCCTCGCAGACGGCGACGAAGATGGCCGCCTGCGCAATAGAGTTGGGGTTGAAGTTGTGGAGCTCCACGCCGTAGTAGTGCAGGAGCGCCCACATGAACTGGTCCACCGGTAGGCCGAGACCGCACTCGTGGAAGGCCACAAAGCTCACAATGTAGCCATCATGCGGCCTCGGCTCCGGCTTGTTCCCCAGAGCAATCCACTCCGGCCTGCTGGGGTCGGCGACCGAGCGAAGGAGACCGTCATCTACAAGCGCCTGCAGCTCCGCCGTGGACACGTCGGACGGATCCCAAGGATCCGCCTGAAGGACAACACCGCCGCCAGCCATTGCGCGGTGGAGAATGCGGCTACGGCGATAAGGCTCTCTCTCTCTCCCTCGCCCTTCTCCCTTCTTGTCCCCGGTGCTCTCCGTTCTTAGCAACGGCTCGAAGGCAGAAGAGGTGAATGCAGGCAAGGTAAGGAGGAGAGGGGCGAGGCTCGTCACGTATTTATGCAGGAAGGGGGCGAAACGGGCGGGCGATGAAATCGGGGAAGTTTCCCTCAGATCTGGCGCAGTTAATCCAGATCCGATTAAATCTCCCATGTGCCCACCTTTTCCTTATTAATCGCACGCCCAGTAACGTCCCATCCGCTGACATCGCATCACATCCAACCGCAGCGACTACAGGCGCCGTTCCGTCTCCCTGAGAAACCGCCTCAAAAGGCGCACCTGCCGATTGTCAGCCGATGGGAAGGGAATATTCCCCTCCCTACTCCTTTCAGGCTAAGGAACTGGGCGCCGAGCCCATTACGGTCTAGGGGTTCAAAGGCTAGGCCCCCGAGGGTCTCGACAGCCGCCCTAGGACAACAGAGTCAGGGATGACTATGGGCGAGCCCATACATGGCCGAGCCCCAAGCAGGCGACTGCTTGGGATGCCCTAAGTCGTGTCCGAGACCGGCAGGGAGGTCTCTGAATGGGATCCCACCGTAGGGAGGCATCGAGCCCCCGGGGCCAATCGAACGGCCCTAGGACCCACTAGAGAAGTCCTCTGGTACTTTTGGAGTATGTCTCTGGACCGCTAGCCGACCCCTATTGAATGGGGCATGGGCCTCCACTCGGACTTACCCGATAACAGCTCACCAGAAGTGTCACCGCTCGCGCCCACCGAGGGTAGCCTGGCATATTCCACCCCTCCTTCCGAGCGAAAAGGATGCGCGAGGGTCGCAAAAAAAGACAGGGAAACTCCTGATCGCCCTCTCGCTCCGTGTGGAGGCTCGGGGGCTCTTCCTGCAACCAAGCCGAGACCCAGCAACCCAGGCTCGCACTCGAGGGCTCGGCAAACAACCCCTCCTTCCGAGCGAAAAGGATGCGCGAGGGTCGCACAAAAAAGACAGGGGAACTCCTGATCACCCTCTTGCTCCGTGCAGAGGCTCGGGGGATCTTCCTGCAACTAAACCGAGACCCAGCGACCTAGGCTCGCACTCGAGGGCTCGGCAAACAACCCCTCCTTCCGAGCGAAAAGGATGCATGAGGGTCGCACAAAAAAGACAGGGGAACTCCTGATCGCCCTCTCGCTCCGTGCGGAGGCTCGGGGGCTCTTCCTGCAACCTCCTTCCGAACAAAAAGGATGCGCGAGGGTCGCATTTCCTGCAACCAGGCCAAAGACAAGCAACCCAAACTCGCACTCGGAGACTCGGCAAAATGCGTTAAAGGGCATCAAGCCCATTACGGTCCAGGGGGTTCGAAGGCTGGGCCCCTGAGGGTTTCGACAGCCGCCCCAGGACAACAGAGTCAGGGATGACTATGGGCGAGCCCGTACATGGCCGAGGCCCAAGCAGGCGACTACTTGGGATGCCCTAAGTCGTGTCCGAGACCGGCAGGGAGGTCTCCGAATGGGATCCCACGGTAGGGAGGCATCGAGCCCCCGGGGCCAATCAAATGGCGCTGGGACTCACTAGAGAAGCCCTCTGGTACTTTTGGAGTGTGTCCCTGGACCACCAGCCGACCCCTATCGAATGGGCACGGGCCTCCACTCGGACTTATCCGATAATAGCTCACCGGAGGTGTCACTGCTCGCACCCACCGAGGGTAGCCTGGCATACTCCACCCCTCCCTCCAAACGAAAAGGATGCATGAGGATCGCCCAAAAAGACAGGGAAACCACTGATCGCCCTCTCACTCCGTGCAGAGGCTCGGGGGCTCTTCCTGCAACTAAGCCGAGGCCCAGCGACCCGAACTCGCACTCATGGGCCCGGCAAACGTGATAAAACTCTTCACTCAATAGGGAAAAAGCCCCTGGAGGAGTAAATCCACTCCACCAGGGCCTCAGGGGCTACACCCAGTGGGTGCGCTCGCGCGCACCCACCGGAACCACGAGTACAAAACGCAAATCCCGACGGGAGCTGCTGCGAGCCAAGTCTCGGAAAAAACTTAGGGAGAGTGCTCGCACTCCCCCCGAGGCTCGGGGGCTACTGTCGGATACCAGAAAAAGGGGTACCCTAAGCGAGAACCCAAAAAATTGCTTAGCCCTTTAAATATCAAAGCCAAGAAACAATGACGAGGCCTCGGCCGATTCTCCGATTCACCCGAGGCCCGCGCCGCACAGCGTCTAACGAGGTGCTGACTCTCCGCCTCGCCGAGGCCCCCTCGCCCGAGGCCCCGCGCCATAAGGCCTCGGACGAAGTACCGATTCTCCGCCTCGCTCGAGGCCGGCTCGGCAACGACCCCGTCACCACTGCCTCGACCAGCTTCTCTGACAAAACGTCACGTCCAATTAACGCGTCCAACCACTCCCGCAACGTCAGCCGCGCGCATATAGTACACAGCCGGAGTGGTAACGACGGACGGAGTCACATCGACGTCATCTTGTCGAGGGAGCGAGGATCGGGCGGGGGTTACCGATCACTGTGCTTTCGGCCTTTGTGCCCATGGTGACGACACCCGTCTTGTGCAGGCTACCAACTCCTGCTCCGAGGAACAGCGCGGCGTGGAGAGTCAAGTCCGGATCCCTGTAGCCTCAAAATCAGTGTACAGGACCAACTGCTCCCTCTGAGCCTCGGCAATCCGCTTCAGGGTCTCGGCAGCCTCGGGATTCACACCCACCAAGCCCCCCGCGATGGCTCGGCCTCGGCACCAACTGAGCCTCGGCTCTTTACGCTGTCGACACACAACGACCGGCACGTCGTCTGCAGTACGCACCGTACCCTGCGCCAAGCTGCACCCACGTCACGCGCAGGGCCGAGCTCCTGTATCCTCGAAGTCAGCGCGCCCGCACCATCGCGTCAGCCCGGCCTCGGCACTCCGCGCCGGTCAAAACATGCAGCAACCAGCACGCCTCCGGCAGAGAAAGACGCGTCTGCCACCACAGGAGCTCCCACGTTGCACAGGACCAGTCGTGACCGGCACGCCGCTCCAGTGCACCAAGGACAAGACCACTTCATCGACCATGCCGCCACAGTGACAAGCTACAGGGCTCGACACGCCGCCTCCGCTCACAAAACGCCACGTAGCAATCCATGTACCATCCCCGTGCCTTCCTTCAACTATAAAAGGGAGTGACCGGGGCAGCTTCTAGGCATAGCGAGAGAACCCACGAAAAACCACGCTCTCACACACGCGCAAGCAACACTCTGTAACACACGCTCCCCCCGCTGCCTGAGAGCAACGTCTCAAGCAGCCCACGCCGTTCCACGCAGAGACCTGGGATTAGCACCCTCTCTCGCCCTGCTTGTAAACCCCTACTACGAGCACCTCGGTGCAAGGAATACAAGATCGCTCTCTCAGACTGGACGTAGGGCATCTATTGTCTGAACCAGTATAAACCTTATGTCTCTTTGCATCACCATCCGGGATTAGGGGCACGCAGTTCAAATTTACTAGTTGGTTGAGGACCCCCCGGTCCCAAACACCGACACGTGCTTTCAGTTGGTCTTTTTCTGCAAGGTACTTGGTATGATCAGACTTGATTTGGAGCAATTTATTCAGGATACACCGCAAAAACTTCACACTGAATCCATTTTCCTCTAGATGGCAAAGCGTAGCGATCTTCTGGTCAAAAGAGGCAGTGCTATCTGTTATGCTTGATTTCCTTATATCTTCCACTGAGGTGGCAAACGTAAACATCAGGCCTAGAGCCATTCCTTCACGCAATGCAGGGTCAAATTGCCTAAGTGGATGGAAATGTGGTTGCTGTGGTACCTCCTTAAACACGTCCATCACATCCACTAGATGCCATGCAGGTGATCTCTTGACAAATGGAACCTGGTGACCAGAGATTTGAGAGAAAGCCAAGTCTGAAGCCATTGAGTTCCCAGAAGAGGAAAAGCTACTCAATAAGATGTTGTCAGAGGTAAACACTAAGCTCCCAGCATTCTGCAAACTTTGTAGGATTGATCCCTCATCCACTTGGTTCCCGTCCTGTGGAACTAGTCGATCATGAGACTGCAGAGGTGTATCGGTAAGAAAGTTGCTTTTTGTCACTTGGGTATCAGCAGTGTCTGTGCACACATCTGCATTTCTGTTCCCTTCACAGATCATGTTGATTGTAGCAGCAAGCTCTTTGTCCAACAGACCAGTACCTTCGTTTCTAGCCACTGCAGATTGTACAGCAATTGTCAAATCTAATAAACAATCACAAATGAATCATTGTAAGAGGAACTACTTCCATTGGTTAAAGTTGACACCTTCAGCATCTGAACCGCTACTTGTCCCTCCTGTGACCTTCACATATATTGGCAAACAGAACATCCACGTAAAACATAAATAAAGGAAGGAGAGGTTAAACAGTCACAAAAACTTTTCAATCAAAAGACTCTACCTGTAGAGTCTGAGCTGAAGTTGTCTGACATTCTGGAGAGGCACTCGAAGCGAATAAAAATTGCTTGCTAGAGAAATTCCTGTTTCCCTTCAATTGAATTTGCATCTGTAAAAATATTGACAAGAGAAACCACCATAAATGGCCTGCATGTAATGCTACTTTCATATAGTAGACCATGAAGGGAACTTACATGCTCAGGGGCATCATTTTTTCCCCGATGTGATTTAGAGTGTGTTTCCCCCCTTCTGTTCTTGGTAATGCCTCTCTTCACACCGAGTGTCTTGACAAAGAATGATCTTTCCTGTGTCTGCTGGTTTATGAGAGATGAAGCGATGTTATGTTTCCTTACTTCTGGAGTCAACAGCATATCACAGGTCTCATTAGCATTTCTTCCACAGACAAGTGTGTTATGCTGACCATCGGAAAGCACCATCTCAGATAGAACGTCTTGACTAAATTCTGTTTCACCAATAGCATTTGGCATCAATTCATCTGGAGGTGCTGAATGTCCTGAGGAACTACAAAGATTCTTTGACACTGAACAGGTATTCAATGTCCTGTGTGGAAACACAGAAAGACCATTCTTTTCAGATAGCAGAGAACATGAGTTCAGACAATGATTGCTTGCCAGAGACTTGCGCGATGCAGATAGAGAAGCGTCGGTCTCAGAGACTGAAGCACGTTGTAAGCCTTCATCATCACTAGATGCGGCATCAGCTGGTGAGATTCCACGTTTCCAGGATGCATACTGCTGCCTCGAGTTACGCTGTCCCTGCAAAATTAAAGAAATGCCAAGAATGGATCATGCAAATTCAGTTCAGAACAGGATGAAAAGTAGAAACTTTCAGAGGAACCAATGCATTGTACCATAGCCATCCAAGTTCCTATGCATACCAGTAGAATTCCCTTAGCAGAAACTATTACAGTATTACAAAGCTACTAAATGACTAGCAATAAAAAATGTGAATTGCAAAGCTAGGCACAGCTACTAAGGGCGTGTTTGGTTGCCCGCATAAGGGCAAACCAGGCTCTCCGGATGCAGCCTGCTCATGTTTGGTTCCCTGGCCACCCTCCCGAGCCAGGCTCCGCTCGTGCAAAAGCCCCCTCCTGGCCTGGCTCGCGAGGAACGCCCAAATCGGCCGTTTTTCTTCAGCCTGGCTCGGTCCGTGCTCCCGCGAGCTCGCGCGCCTGGCGATTCCGTGCGCGGGGAGATGGCGCGAAGATCCTAGGGTTACCTCCCCCGTTCCCGCCATTCACCGCCTATATATCTTCCCTCCCGCCGCCTCCCTCTCTTCTTCTTCTTGTCGCTCCCCGTCTGCGCCGCCGGTAAGCTCCACCTCCTCTTCCTCCTCCCCCGGTGTTCTTGATGGATTCGTGGCCTCCTAATGCCTACCCTCTCTTTCGATTTGTTGCAGGTGCCGTGGATTTGCGTCCTCTCGAAGCAAGTGAGTTTTTCCCCTTCTCTTTCTCCATTTTTCTGTGCGATTTGAAACCCTAGGTCACCATTGTTTGTTGATCTCATTGCAGGCACACCAGATCTGATGTCTTGGTTGTTATTGCGGTATGGATCCTTGTTCTTAGGTCTCATTTTGTTTTCTTGTTTTTTTCAAGTAAAAATCATATTTTGTGTATGCTAATCCTCTTTTCTTTGCTTGTGTGCTTGCAGATCTGAGCTCCCTCACCTGCTAGGTTGGGCTTTTCCTGGTGCTGCTGCTTGTTGACGTGGGTATTTTGTATATCTACTCCCCCTCTCGCCTCCCCCCTAATCTGTACCGTGCAATAGTGAGTCCTGCGTTCTTGGATTCAGATGCATGTCCTACTTTGTGAGATTATGAGCAAGTATATGAAGTTGCCATTTTGTCTGAGCTATTGTCCAAGTCTGTGATGATTCCTTTTGTCCTGAGCTATTGCCTTAGTCTATGATGATGCCTTTTTTCTGAGCTACTGCCCTAGTCTGTGATGATGAAAGTCTTATTTTTAGCATGTTTTAGTATATGATGAATCCTTTTTCTAAGCTTTTGTCCAAGTCCATGATGATGACATTGTCATTCTGAGCATTTGTCCTTAAATTCCATTCATTTTTTCTAGATGGACTTGGAAGAGAAGAGACGCATTCTTTTTGCTCATGCTGCTGCTCTTATCACTGCTATGTATGCCCTGCTGTTTGCTAGACTTAGAATGCTTCAGAGTCAGCGGCCTCAGATCAGTTATGGTCCAATAAGCATTAGGGATGAGGAGCGACAAAGGAACTTGAACTTAATTTATAACTACAATGATATAGAGTGTCTGAACATGCTTAGAATGAGAAGGGCACCCTTTTTTAGTTTGTGCAACTTGCTTAGGGAGAAGAAGCTACTTGCTGACAACATAAATTCTTGTGTTGAAGAGCAAGTTGCAATGTTTCTCCATATTGTTGGTCATAACCAACGATTTAGAGTTGTAAAGCAAAACTGGAGAAGGTCTATAGAGACAGTCCACCGCCATTTTAAAGATGTGTTGTATGCTATTGGTGAGCTTAGACAAGAGATGATTAGACCTCCAAGCAATGAGACACCAGTAAAGATTACCAACAGCCATAGATGGTATCCTTACTTTAAGGTAAAAAAAACCTGTCATATAGCTGCTAGGATATTGTTGCATTAGCTCATGTCAATTTACTATGCAATTTTGGATGCCATGTAGGACTACATTGGGGCCATTGATGGGACTCATGTATTTGCCAAAGTTCCAGCCAAGATGCAAGCTGCACTTAGGGGTAGAAAGAATGCCCCCACACAAAATGTGCTAGCAGCAGTTAGCTTTGACTTGAAATTTACCTATGTGCTGGCTGGTTGGGAGGGATCAGCTCATGATGCCACAATTCTTGCTGATGCATTACAGAGAGAGGATGGGTTGAGGGTTCCACCAGGTAATTAAATCAACTGTGATAATAAGAAGCAAATGTAACTACCAAATGATAAATCTAATTGAACTCCACATTTGTTTTAGGCAAATTCTTCTTAGTAGATGCTGGATATGCTTGTCGGCCTGGATTTCTTCCTCCTTATCGAGGTTGTAGGTACCATCTTAAAGAATATGAGAATAGGAACTATCCAACCAACCCAAAAGAGTTGTATAATTTGAGGCACTCTAGTTTGAGAGTAACTGTAGAAAGGGCATTTGGGGCTCTGAAGAACCGTTTTCGCATCATTGACACCAACAAACCATTCCATCGCTTGAGGACACAAATCAAGCTTGTGCTTGCATGTTGTATAATGCATAACTGGATCCTTAGTTTTGGGGTTGATGAGGTTATTCCAGAAGAGTTCTCTTGGGTACCAAATGACACAAACAGTCAGCCCCATCCTGCTCACATGGATGACAATGCTGCCTGGGCACTTCAGAGGGATGAATGGGCTAATCACATGTGGGCTAATAGGGGTCTTTCTAGAATCTAGAGTTCTATTATGTATCATTAAGTTGCCTGTAATTCATTTTATTCATGGACAAATGCTGTTTTTTTCCTGTGATTCTACACTTGATCTGAGACTTTGGGCAATAGCAATGATGTTTTTTTCTGTGATACTACACTTGATCTGAGACTTTGGGCAATAGCAATGATGTTTTTTTTCTGTGATACTACACTTGATCTGAGACTTTGGGCAATAGCAATGATGTTTTTTTTGTGATACTACACTTGATCTGAGGCTCTAGGCATGTGCAATGATGTTTTTTCTGTGATACTACACTTGATCTGAGGCTCTGGGCATGTCCAATGATGTTTTTTTCCTGTGATACTACACTTGATCTGAGGCTTTGGGCATGTGCAATGATGTTTTTTCTGTGATACTACACTTGATATGAGGCTCTGGGCATGTGCAATGATGTTTTTTTCTGTGATACTACACTTGATCTGAGACTTTGGGCAATAGCAATGATGTTTTTTTTCTGTGATACTACACTTGATCTGAGGCTCTGAGCATGTGCAATGATGTTTTTTCTGTGATACTACACTTGATCTGAGGCTCTAGGCATGTCCAATGATGTTTTTTTCTGTGATACTACACTTGATCTGAGGCTTTGGGCATGTGCAATGATGTTTTTTCTGTGATACTACACTTGATCTCGAGGCTCGGGCATGTGCAATGATGTTTTTTCTGTGATACTACACTTGATCTCGAGACTTTGGGCAATAGCAATGATGTTTTTTCTGTGATACTACACTTGATCCGAGACTTTGGGCAATAGCAATGATGTTTTTTTTCTGTGATACTACACTTGATCTGAGGCTCTGGGCATGTGCAATGATGTTTTTTCTGTGATACTACACTTGATCTGAGGCTCTGGGCATGTGCAATGATGTTTTTTTTGTGATACTACACTTGATCTGAGGCTCTGGGCATGTGCAATGATGTTTTTTTCTGTGATACTACACTTGATCTGAGGCTTTAGGCATGTGCAATGATGTTTTTTCTGTAATACAAAACACCTGTGTTGAGGCTCTGGGCATGTGCAATGATGTTTTTTTCTGTGATACAAAACACCTATGCTGAGGCTCTGGGCATGTGCAATGATGAATTAGGCTATGGCTGAGGAGATGATGCCTGCTGATGAGGTTGTGTTCCCTGGACTAGATGGTGGTCTTTTGGCTGGTGACAATGTGGTTCTTTGGGACGATGATGTGGTGGTTTCATACCAAAGATCACAGAACCTCCTTTCAGTGAGAGGACCTCTCTGAGGTGGACCTGAGCCCATGTTCGCCTTTGTCTTTGAAAGCGATGTGCCCGACTCATTACCACTTTGAGTGAGGACTGATAAGGGCTTCAAAGAAGTGCACCTGAACAAGGTGGCAAAGGCCCTGCAAGAGTTCTGTGGTCATGAAGTTAGTGGTACCTAGGTGTACAACCACCTGAGGAAGTGGAGGCAGAGGTGGGTGAAACTGTCCAAGCTGAGGGACCTTAGTGGAGCTCAGTGGGATGAGGACAACTACATGATTGTTCTTGAGGAGGAACACTACAATGGCCATACCAAGGTGAGCAAGAACCTATGATACTACAACTTGATTTGTTAGATGACTCTTTGAAACATTTTGTCATTATGCCTAACAAGGGACAATTCATTATGTAGGACCACCCCAATGATGCTCCACTGCTCAACAAGCCCATACAACACTACAAGCATATGATGGTCATCTTTGCCAATGGTCAGGCAACAGGCAAGTGGGCTATGGGCTCCAATGAGCCACTTGGCACACCATCTGACTGTGCTGAGAGCTCACTCAAGACTGAGATCCTGAACAGTGGCAAGACTGTGACTCCTGAGGATACCAAGAGTGAGGGAGGAGTTGGTAACAAGAGGAAGAGATCCATGCTGGCAGAAGAGGATGTTGTTCTGTTCACTGGCATGGCAGAGGCAGTGAAGGATGTTGCTGATGCTATTAGGTCGACCAAGGTTGAGGATTCCCACCCTGAGTTGTATGGTGCTGTTATGTTTGTGACAGGCTTTACTAAAGAAGCACTGATGTGTGCTTATGGCCATCTGCTGGACAACAAGGCCTTGGGTTCAGCTTTTGTCAAGATGTCTGACTCCCACCGTGAGTTGTGGCTAAGGACCTACTTGGCCAAGCACTACTACATGTGAAGGCTTCACAGCTTCGGGTTGATCCTTTTGTGCAGTGCCTCTTTTGTGCATACCTAACTACAGCTGGTGGATGTGTAGTGGGTTGACCTTCTCTTTTGTGCAGTTGATCTGATCCTGCATAGCTTACTTACTAACACTAACATATAGTTAGTGTCTTAGATAACCCTGCACCTACAACCTAGATCAACCTAGTGGTGGCAATCTGACCATGAGTCCATTGCCAATTATGTGAACCTTGTGGTTTTGAACTTGATATGGGCACCAGCCTGTGCCTGTGATTTGCACAATTTTATTCTGAGCACTTGCCTTATTGCCTGTAATGTTTGTTTTCTTATATCTGAGCACATGTCCATTGCCTGTGATACTTTATGACTGAACTGAGCACTTGTCCATTGCCTGTGATGTTTTTGGATTGATCTGACCACATGTTCATTGCCTGTGATCTTTTTTGATTGATCTGAGCACATGCCTATTGCCTGTGATGTTATTTTGATTAATTTGAGCACAGGTCCATTGTCTGTGATGTTTTTTTGATTGATCTTATGGATTGGTATATTGTTCATGTTGGGAAGGAGCCTGGGGTCTACTCCAGCTGGGCCGAAGCATACAACAGATGGCATGTTCGTAGTGGAGCCTGCAATATGTATTGCAAAGAAGGGAGGTCACAACTGGAAGGATGTTGTAATTTTAGTGGAGGGTCTAATAATATTAGTCCAGGCTTTAGTAATTTTAATTTTGCTTTCCAAAATGATGTAATATTCATTGCAAATAAATTGTTGTAGCAATGTTTGGACTTGCTGGTGGTAACTTTACCACTCAAACAAAGTGGTAACTCCACCAGCTTCTATGCGGGCAACCAAACATGGTTCCTGCACCCTCACAATTTGATTTAGATGCAAGTTCAGGAAACCAAACACCGGCTGCATGTGTCTAGACTGCAGAGAGCCAGCCAACCAAACACCCACCCCTTGCATGCACAGGGCCAGGCCAAAGGGGACCTGGCTGGCTGATGCGAGCCAGGGTAGGCTGGGAAGTGTACCAAACACGCCCTAAATGGATTCATTGTATTACCTTGTCATCAGTTGGTATCGTCCAATGCTTGTCGTTCCATATGCACAGGGACCTCAGCTGCTCTACTGCCTTAGCCAGCAGCTGCTCCACCTCTACACCATTAACACTGACCTCATACTCACAAGCCTCCCTAACAACCCCGTGCACCACTCCCTGCAACCATGCCCCATCACAGTGCACCTCCACAGCAGTGCCAAGCCCAAGCCGGACTTTGCTCTCCCGCAGACGATGATACTCAGCCGGCCTAATGTACCCAAAATGCAGGTACTCTATGGCCTTCCCTCCGCCCTCCTGCTCATCCAGGTACTCCACGATGTAGCTGAGCCTGTCGACAGCCTTGGCCACCGTCGCAGGGAACCAGGACTCGCCGTAGGCCTCTCGTTCCCTCAGCACCTCGACCTTCTCCCCGGCCTTGTAAATCCTAGCACCGCGCTTTGGCTGGACTTCAACCACGGACAGCGACGGGACCCACTCACCGCCGACGTAGTCGCGGCGGCGGTGGACAAGGTGAGCGGGGAATGGCATGACCTCGTGGGTGATGGGGAACGCAACGGTGACGGTGGAGCCGGGGTCTACGAGGTCGGGGACGGGGGCGACAACGATGATGGACCACCAGCCGGTGCCATCGAAGGCCTCGACGATGTCGTGGAGGAGAAATTGTGGCGCCGGCGCCGGCGGGGACGATGATGATCCTGGAGCCGAGGGAAGAGGAGGCGGCCACGGGCGGACGTGGGAGGCAGCGACGGGATCAGGGCCGTCTTCGGAGACGAGGTGAGAGTAGGCGACGGTGTACAGCGCCGGGTGGCGGGGGCCGCAGGCGGGCTCGAAATCGACGACGGTGGCCTTGAACTAGGAGCCGTATAAGCCCTCGTCATCGACGCGGGCCTCGATCTCTGTGCAGGGAGGCAATGGGGGCAGCTCCTGGGAAGGGGCCGCGAAGAGGGCGTCGGCCGGCCTTTCTGGCGGCTCTAGAGCCGGCCAGAGACTGCCGGCGAGCGACCGATGGCCATGGGGATTGGGGTTTTCTGCCGCGGGGTTCTGGATGGAAGGTTGGGCTGGGGTTTTGAAATTTTTTAATTTTTAACACTTTTTTAAAATAATTTTAAATCTAACATATTTTTTTCAAAACTAACACTTTTGGCCGTGCCTATTTCCATGGCGCGGCGAAAGCCTGTGCCACGCCATGCATGGTGGCGCGGCAGGAGGCTGACGTGGCGACGACCAGAAATGCTGACCGTTGATGTGGCAGGGCCTGCCGCGCCACCGATCGTGGCGCGGCGGTACCTGTACGGTTTAATCGGAACTTTCCGCATCGATAGTGGGAGTTACTCTAGGTATTACTTGACGTGAAACCAATAGTGGATTTGTTTCTGTCTTTTGTTGAATCTTTTTCACGGCTCGATAGAGAATTTGATAAGCCAATGATTTTTTTCGTCTTTCATAATACGGTTAACCACCATGTTAACTAATCGATTAAAAAAATTGGATCGGATTGAAATGAATATTTTTCAAGGGAGCTTATTTTTTTGGCTTTTTGGCCCCATATTGTAGGATCGGTAGCGACGCGACCATGGACCCGGCTTCCTCGACCCCTCGCGCAAGACGCCAACCACCAGCGTCGAGATACGCTAGGACTGCCAATTCTCGAACTAGTTGCTACTTAATATCGCCGACAGTGCTGCCGCGACGCATTGAAACGAATATGAAGCAAATAAATGAAGTCCGTGCGCAAGTTGACAAGCTGACACATAACATTTTCATTGGTTTAACATAAGTTCGACATAACATAACCAACTAAGCTTGCAAGTTTCAGACGCTAATATTCATTCGACCTAACAAACTAAGACCCAAGAGTGTAAGGATCCCTCAGACGCCTCTGTCTCTTCGGTTTTATTGGCAATACATTGGGAGTGTAGCCAACGTTGGTGTGGTCGCGTCGCCAGTGCATACGGCTCGTACCCTGCAAGTATATGATATACACGATTACTTATAATTCTTTATGATCGTTAGTGCATGGAGCCTACGTATTTAAAGAAACTACCTTTGTTAGTACCTATAAGGCTCCTTGGGTACCAAGCGGGGCACCACCTAGCTGAGACATGCCGATCTCGTCCTGCGGCCAATCGTCCCACTGGTCGTGCTGTCTGCGGAAGCCCGAGGGGTCGTCGTCATCGTCCTTGGTTGTAGGGTCCTTCCCAGCGCTATGATGTGGTGGTGTACGCACCGCAGAAGTGACACCTGTCACCGGCTGAGAAGAGCCGACTAGTGTCCTCAAAGAGGCTGAAGACGTGCCACCCGACCACGCCGGGAGTGACGGTTTCTCATAAGGAGTGTCCATGCAGCTTAGCTTCTGAGCTAGCTTCTTGCAGCTCTTCTTCACCTTCTGCATTAATAGATGTTAAAGTTAGTGCATTTCCCAAACGCATATACACTAAAGAAACATTTTTGGAACAGACAAGTTTATGTTTACCTTCACAAAAGCCTCAAGAACGCCTGGCCCCTGCCCTCTAGACTCATAAAGCCAGAACGCTGCTTCGTTGGACAGTCTTAACAATTGTGTCACCTGGGTACAGAAACGCGGTTGGACAGTTTTAGTACACATACTTAATACCAAAAGGATAATAAATTATACCATTCAAGTATCTTACCACATATCTTTGAAGTGGGGCTCTCTGTAGCTGTGTGTCCTCCCTAGTGGCAACGTCATACACATCTTCGATCACATCTTCCTCCGAGTCCTCGTCAATCGCCTCCTCAGTGTATGGGGGCTTGATATGTGTCCTCGTAGACCTGTGAAGCCACCGCAGATACTCGTCGAAGGTGTGATGGTCGTGTGGAGGACCCGCATGGACCGACTATCGTTCCCTGTTCTGCCACAATTGGATGTGCGCATTGTGTGTCACGCGCCAATCCTTGGCCTTGTACCTCTTCCTACGGTCATACCTACAACAAAACGATGTTAGTTGTACCACACAAACCTCTGAATTGTAGCTTTGTTTTTAATCGATAACGCACCCGTGCAATCCTTGGTTGGTGGAGTAAAGCGGTGGTGGGCAGCCTATCATTCTTTCAAACTATCTGTAGACCCTGATGGGCAAGTGAATCTCAACCACGTGGAAGAAAATAAGAGGGGCGTTGCAGTGATACTCGTCTGACTCGTCCCTAGTGACACAACTGAGATAGTACTGGAGCTCCGGAGCATCCCAAGGACACCAATGCACCTAAACATTTCGTAATTGAGTTAGGTTGTGATATAGTGTACATCGAACAAGACACATGTATGATAGTAAAGAGAGCGTAACCTGGTGTTGTGTTAGGACGTCGAAATCGTCCGTGTACTCCCTATACTTGTGCCTCGCATTCCCTCTAACTAACTCTGCTTTCGTCCAGATATACAGAGCTGTAGGGAGTGTATCCTGCCCACTCCATTGCTACATTGAACACGATAATGAATTAGCCATTAATAATCTTATCATATGTAACTGCCTCAAAGAATATAGTGAACCGAAGTACTTACCGGTAAACCAGTATTAAGGGGCCTCCCAACGGGTCATCGTTCCCAACACCAAACCTGAAGTAGGTAGGAGCAACCCCTAAGGTTCGCATATCCTGAGGTGCGACGGCAGGTAACGTATAGCTATCGATACATCTATGCCAGGACTGTGCTGCCCCAGTTGTACGCCGCTATGTTCTTCCACGGCTGGCGTAGTATGTCAAGGAAGATCCAGCTAATGATGTTGCCTGAGGCGTCTAGGAAGAGGAAAGCAGCAAGAAAGTGCCAGAGCCACACTCAAGCGAACCTATCGATCTAAGCCTCCTCAGCCTATGGGTCTAAGTAATCAAAGCGCTCTGTGATCCAGGACGACGAAACACCGGAACTTTTCCTGAAATTAACCAAAGAAAATGAAACCCGATGGCTGCAGAAAAACAATGTAAGTATTAAATAGGCTTGAATTTCTCACTTATTTTTCTTGAAAGCCTCGTCGTCCGGTGGAAGAAAGCCAGTAAACTGAGCCATCAGCTCCCTCTAGTGATCGTTGTCAACTATCCCTGTCACTGGAAGTCCCCCCAACTAGAGGCAAAAAATAGCCTTCACGTTCTGCATGGTCAAGGTCATCTCGCCACAAGGTAGGTGGAACGTATGGGTCTCAGGCCTCCGCCTATTATAACAATAGAACGACTATTAGTTGCCTCAAATTTGTTACAAGAATGTTTACGTACAAAGAAGGCACTCGCACCTGTCTACAGCTGCAGTAAGTAGTGCTGGGTCAAGGGGCGAAAGACCGTAGTTGACAACACGGACAAGCTCGAGGAAGCCGGTACGCCGTATGTACGGCGCGTAACGCTCGTCCCACGGGTGCGCCCTGGTGTGCGTGCGGGGCCTCAAAGGAGGCAAGGCCACCTCTGCGTCGGTGTCACTCAAGATGTGTGCTTGATGCTGGTCGTCGTACTCCACCTCAAGAATGGGGTACAACGGGTGCTGCGTGGGAGGGGCCATCCTGTCGCGCCATGCGCCGTGGCGCATCACTGCCGCGCCACGATCGCCACGTCAACGGTCAGCCTTTCCGGTCGTCGCCACGTCAGCCTCCTACCGCGCCACCATGCATGGCGCGACACAGGCTTTTGGCCGGCCATGGCCAGGCGCGGCCAAAAGTATTAGTTTTGAAAAAAAATGCTAGATTTAAAATTAGTTTACAAAAAAGTGTTAAAATTAAAAAAAATCAGGGTTTTCTGCTGCGTTAACCAATAACAAGTGAGCAGTGGTAGGTTTTCCTTATAATACTCCTGTACCGAAGAAGTAGTACTCCTCCAGTGACGCAATAATCGCACGTTAACCAAGCCGGCATGACTGGCACATGGACGTCCGCGACTGCTCTGTTTCCACGCGTAGCGAGCGGACGGCGCGCACCTTAGCTTGTTGCAGGCCACCACGTGGGCATGGCGCCGCCGTTGGCCCACCCTGGGCACCACCTCCATGGGCGTCCACGCGCTCGTCGGGTAGGGTTTTCTCGTCGAGCTCGAACTGCCGCGACAAGATAAAGGAAAGTGAAGGAAGGGAAGGGAGAGGAGAGGAGAGAGCGAGGCGTGCCATGCGAGGAAAGCGGAGATAGGAGCTGAAGCCCTGCGACAAGCCACTGTTAGCCAGCCACCGGCGCCATTGCAATATGTGCAATACCCTATCTATTTTTGAAACATCTAGATAAAACATTTGCAACATAAGTCTGAAGATAGATGAAACACATAAAACATATGTCTGAAACACTTGCAAAAATATCTGAAAACACTTGAAAAGCTATTGCAAATCATATGCAACATCCAGATAAATTAGTTGCAACATATGTGTAAAACATATGCATTATCCAAATAAACACACTTACAACATACGTCTGAAAAAATAGATGAAACATTTGGAACAAACGCTTACAATATATGTGTATAGCCATTGCAAGATATGCGACATCTCAATCTACTTTTGCAACATCCATAAGAAACACTCGCGAACATACTTTTGAAACACTTGAAAC